TGATCGAGCAGCTTGGCAAAATGATCCTTGTGCGCTCCCGTCTGCTCTCCCCATCGAATTACCAGCGCGATTGGCATGAAGATTGTCGCAAGAAGGCGCCACTCATCGGCTTTCATTGACCCCGCCCCTGCTTCCCCATAATTATTCGGTACATGGTTCACCCAGGACGGAGTGGAGGTTTCGCGAATGACTTTTTGGACGAATTCGATGTCGGACTTATCAATATTTCGTCTCAGCGGCAGGTTGCTCTCGTCCTCATAGATTTTCGCAAGAGGAAATGCGGCTCGCTTATAACCAAGTTAGACGCAGAAGCGAAATTTAGAGTATACACGAACCCAATTCATGAGAAGCCTAAGTAACTCTTTTTTCTACTCCAATTATCTCCGCCAACCAATGGACCGAGTCTTCCCTAACTCAACCCCAAAATCTACAATTGGTCGGAGATACGGATTCAAATCGCTGACATTGCCTGGAATTATGCAGAGATACTCGTTCTCTGGTAGAAAACAAAAAATTTTGAGGAAGATTAAGGCAATAAGCTGCGAGGATCCCGATCGACTCGCTAGAGCAGCCATCATAACTGATACTGAAAACCAGTCGCAACCTGTCGTCTGCGTCGAGGGGTTCCTCGGCAGTCGGCGGGGCTACTAGACGGGACTGGTATACGAGTAGTCGGCAGCCAACAGAGAGCTCGCCAATGGCCCAATGCCAGGAAAAACCTTGCCGCTCTCTTTTCGCGTCGCAATTGTCGTTTATCTAATCCCAAAATTTTGTAAAGGTGCTCGACGACCGTCCTTCTTGTCGATTATCAAGAAAGGAGTACAAATTTTGTGTTGTTAGACGATCGAGCGAAAAGAAACCAAGAGACGAGCAGCATGAGAGAGCGGATAACGAAAGTGATTAGCGTGAGCCTTGGGAATAGTAATTTGCCTTGGGCTGAGAATGTAGCCCGATTGCTAGATAATTCATCACTGATGTAAGACACAAAAAAAGTATCGATATCGTTCTCGTACCCTGCATACGTGACTTCAGGAGAGATATACAGGCATTTCGATATGTTTGCGGTCCATCGGCATTGAAGGGAGCTAGCTTTTCTTTTCTAGCGTTGAGCCCAAATTAGGGTCAGCGGACTGTCTGAGACGGCGAAAAGAGCGTTGTATGAGCTCCTGTTACAGCTCGGAAGACTTCCGCCTTCCATACCTCGCGTATTTTGTCGACGCAGAGCGGGTCGACAAAACGCAAGACTTGCCACACCACGGATAGCGCAGAGCGCGCCCAACAGCGGTGGTGGTGGCGGTCTTGGGAAGAAAAGCGTGACGTGACTGATGTCGTCACCGCGGATCATAAACCGCGGCCATCCTTCGAGCAAACAGAAGCGCGCTTCCTTGCAACTCATGTTGACCGCGCTCTGCGTCCGTGAACCACTGGGAACGCATTCGACTCCTCCCTCAAACTAGCCAGATTCCATTGCCGCGCTTTCAACTTTCTTCCCTCGTTTGAGGTCGACCTCAATAAGACTCTCTGCCGCACGCTTGGATGCGGCGACCTGCTGGAAATCATTATCGCAAAACCTAGCTGGGAAGAACATCCCTCAACTGGCACTTGGCACTCGTTATTTAGTGGTACTGCAGTGTAAGATACGTATAATTATCAACGATGCCTTTTCTATGATGCAAATGTAAGCAAATCATAACCCCAATCATTGCCATCCTTGCTGAATCATCGCCGCCCGCGAGGGTTCATTTCCGCTGTTGGCCAGGCAGGGGGACCCTGGTCGATGCTCAGACTGTATTTCCAGGCCGCGTCGGCGTCCTCCCTCCGGCCCCAAACGGAGTCTTGCTGCCTGTTGTGGTCTGCTGGCTTTGCGATTCATGGAGACGTCTAGATAAGATAGCATCATCCTCATTGATCATCTCACGTGGTGGAATAAGCCGTACCGGACTTTGAACGCGTCGCACAGCTCGAAGACGCCGACAGCTGCAGCATCGAAGAGAATGTATGATTCAGGGGTTACTTGGACGGGCTACAAGGATCATGAGCATGAGAACGAAACCGAAGACTTCAAACAAACAACATGTGAATTCTCGTTGCCAGTGGCGAGGAAGCACAGGCTGAAAGGGCTCGGGCCTCTTGCGGTTCAGTGTAAAGCCATACATAATCTTGCCGCGATTAGCAGCGAGCGAGACCTTGAGGAAGATAGAGTACGTCCAGTGCCGACATCTCTTCTCCAGCAATTCACTCACGAAGGTCATCTTCGGACCGGCCTTGTAGCGATCATGCGCCATAAGTTACTCGACTTTGCGAGTCATTGCTGGCATGTGGTTGACTATCAGTTCATCCAAATCCGAGTAAATATGAGGCTGACATGACGCTCTTCTTGGTAACTTCATAAGTGGAAAGGCGACTGGGCATTTTGTGTTTCGGGACATCAATATCTGCCTGTTCCTCTTCGTTGTCGTCGTGGAAGCGGAATTGCATCTCGTCGTCTCTTTTGTCCTTGCGCTTGATCAGAGGCCACTTCTGCCGCCACTTGGCATGTCTTGTTCAGAGGAGGTATCTGTCACCTTGAGCCGGGCGTCGACGACGGTCACGCAGAGAGCAATACTTTTAGAGCTCCTTCAAGTCCAAAGATCCCTGGGAGAAGAACCAGAATCAAATAGAAGGAGGTGGTCGCGCCTGTGATGCCAAATGAAGGGTACTTCAACAGACTCGAACATTGTCGCAAAGTATACGTCACAGCTCCAACCATTTACGGGCTGAAAGACTTGAGTTCGCCATTGGGAGTGAAATAGTCCAAGGCTTTCTTCTTGGAGAAGTTCGTCGGAAGTGGAGTGTGGTTGGTAGAACACGCGAGTTGTAAACGCTCAGGAGCATCTTTAATAAGATCGTCATCTTCTGTTAGGAAGATATTGCCGAGGGTTCAAGACCTGAACGAGAGTTAATAATGGATAATTTTGGGAAATGCAAGTTTGCGCACACCGGCTTCAGCTTTGCCGTATTTGCCTTCGTTACCGTCGTCATCCTCCAAAGCATAATCGTAGTCATGCACATCGCCGAAGACATCATATATCTCTTGCCATGACTAGGAACTATGTCGACATGAGAAAATGTACAGGAACCTCTAGGTGGAATAGAAAAAACCTTGCATCTATCTATGCCTGTGTGAGTTCTGGACGAGCACGGGCCATCTTTCTACCAGCTTGTTGTTGCTTTTTTCTACGCTCGTCGCGTTCTTGGTCATTCATTGCGTCTGCTGTGTTTGCTGGTGTCTGGCTGACCCAGTGATGATGACCGTCAATGAAGACTTGGGGGGAAGACACGACGCCAATGGGTTGGATTTCTGTCAATGGGACTGAGTGAGACCGCTAGTATCGATTATCAGACCTTGACATGCTCAAACTGAAGCACATACCTAATTTATTCCTCCTCGACCTTCACAAGGATGGACGATTTTAAGCGGATCGAACCGCGCTGAGAAGCAAAAACGCCATCCCAAATGATGCAAGAATGGAGGACACGAAGAAGGCTTGCCAAGAAGAGAGATGAGGAGTCACCCAATTTCTCGATCGACAGCAAGTTTTCGAATAGGCGACTCATCGAGCTGGGCCCGCAAAGCCCCATCAGCGAAAAACAAAACGGGGCAAAATAAGAACGACTCACCAGAAGCCAACATTACGATGTGTGCCAGTGGTTTGTTGGCGCAGAGCGCCCAACAGTGACCGGAAATAAGGCCTACCACCGAAGGCGCAGAGCGCGCCCAACGGTGGTGGAGGCTTGGGAAGAAAACGGGGATCGGTGTGACGTGACTGATGGTCATGCAAGCACTCTCCTCCGATAACAGCCGCCAACCTGGGATGAACGAGAGCGCGCTTTGCGCTTCGTTACTGTGTGTCTGGGATGGGATAGAAGTAACGTGTGCGCGCGCATAGCGCAGCGTGTTAACTCGTGGCTAATCTGCTCGTCAACTTCAATTTCAACATCTCTCCGTCCCGACCAGGTTTGACCCGAGAGTTTTCCTTCAATCAGCTGTCCGAAGTCCCTCCCAAGTCCAGGGTCACGATTGCGGGGTTTCCACGGTGGACAGGTGTGGTGACGGATGAGATGGACGACATTCATGCCATGAATTGGGCAAGTACATGAGATTTTTGTATCGGCCTATACGGGCGAACAGGCCCTTCAAAATGCACTACTTTCCATCCTAATCCATTGAGAATTGAGGGAGAAATCGTGGATTTTCAATTACAGGTACGCATTTCAATTCTGATGCCCACCCATAGTACCGTTCTGTTAACCGAGACCAAGAGACAAGTTTTGACGGCTTTGCGAGCCTTGGATGATATTCATTGTGCACGGCAGACTCTGTCCATTTGGGCAACGCAGCTGGTTAGTCTAGATCCGAATGCTTACTGACCGCCAATGTCTCCATATACCACTGTTCAACCAGCCTTTCGTCTGATCCAAGGCAACCAGTCTTTTTCGACCACAACTTACCTCCGCTGCTCTATCATCCAACTTTCACGCAGGGAAATCCTCCGAGTACAAGCTTCCACCTCTTCGACATCACCTCTGCCTCAACAATCATGGCATGCGTTTGGACCTGAAGCCTTTCCTGAATGCGCGCACTGGCACTATGCAAGTCTAGATCTGAATGCTTACCGACCGCCGATGTCCCCCATATACCATTGTTCGACCACCGATGCCATCGTTCAACCAGACCTTTTGCCTGACCCAAGGCAACCGACCTTTTTCGACTACAACTTGCCCCCGCCGTTTCAAGTTTACTATCCAACCTCTCCGATACTTTGTCAACCGCCGTCACCCATGCTTCCTTCGAAACTGCCTCCAATGCCGGTTACAATAACTGAGAAGAAGATTGAAATGCAGGTATGAACTTGACGCCACTCTTATTGTCTTACGTTATTGACAATGGCAAATTTAGTACAACTTACAACAGCAGCTATCTAGCATCACGCAATGTGATGTTTCCACCGCTCTCTCCCATGAGCTATCCTCCTCAGCCTGATTATAGGAACCAAATCCTCAATATGTACGGTGGTGGGACTGGGTTTGGTATGATGGCGCGCGGAAGTCGCCGATTCGAAACCCAAACACCCTCATTTACTAGTAAGATGCTGGACCAGTTTCGTTTGGGCACACAAGCTCAATAGTGCCACAAGTGAAGAAATCCAATGCGTATTCGATGAAATCGACCCCGACAATACATTACATCTAATTCAAGATGTTTTCGGTAATTATGTGAGTTGCTTCAACTTTTGCCGTCCCCAGCTTACGACTCTGCTCACTGCAGGTAATACAGAAGCTACTGGAACATGGTACCCAGGCCCACAAGGACACTCTTGTTGGTGCCATGGAAGGCCATATCATCTATCTATCATCCAATGTCTATGGCTGCCGCGTGGTGCAAAAGTCAAGTCGACGTCTAACCAACTTACGAATAGCTAACAACAATGAAAGGCTTTTGAATGTGTAACTCCGGAGCAGCAAGTCAAGTTTGTTCAAGAACTCGAGCCCCATATTCTCAGATGTGCCAAAGACTCGAACGGGAATCACGTAGGTGATCTACCTGAGGCTGGGGAATGAACATGACTCATTCGCATCAAGGTTATTCAGAAGGTTATCGAACGAGTTTCCCCTGACAGACTTGGTTTCATTTCAACATTCATCGGCCACGCCCATGGGCTTGCTTCTCATCCATTTGGCTGTCATGTCTTGCAACAATGTCTCCGTCACCTTCCTGAACCATACACCCGGCCACTTCTCGATGAACTTACAAGTCATACCGCTAATCTTATGCAAGATCAATTTGGGGTCAGTGCTAGTACTTGCCTTTCTTTTTCCTCTTCAAGTTGGCTTATTGCGTTGGTTGTAGAACTATATCGTCCAGTTCATTCTGGAAAACGGATTGCCTTGCGACCGATCGTCCATTCTTACTCAGCTTCGGCGGGCGCGTGCTAGCAATGGCTTGCCACAAGTTTGCCTCCAACGTCTGTGAGAAGGCGATGATCTTTGGTGACTCAGATGGTCGCAAGGCGATAATCGAAGAACTGATGGGACCGGCTTTGCGACCTGATGGCCTGACACCAATCGGGTTGCTCATGAAGGATCAATACGGCAGTGAGTTTTCCAACTAAGAAGACTGTGATAAGCCCTTCTCACTCGCGATTCAGATTATGTTCTCCAGCGAGCGCTTGCAGTAGCGGAAGGCGAGCAGAAAGAGGCTCTCACCAATGCTATTCGTCCCCAACTGGCCACTATGCGCAAACATGCTGCTTACAGCAAACATCTTGCCTCTAGTGCGATTTTCTTCCACTTCTCATCCTTCTGAAGCTAACTTTTTGATTCAGTCGAACGGGAATTGCGGAAACACGCGCCCAAGCCCGATTGTGTATGTATAAGTTCTTGTCTGAAGAAATAATTGGAGATATATAATTGCATCACACACTGCGAATCCGTCCTTTCTATGTATATCTTGTTTTTATGGCCTCAACGCTCCTAGCATAGTCAAGCAAATACGTGCAAATAGCTGCGTCATAATGGCGATCACGTGTCCGCATTTTTCCCGCCGCCGTCCCTCAGGCGACCGTCAATATCGTCAGCGACTTGCGCATCACCACTAGGAAGCTCTGAAGACGCTCACAACAGCCAAACAACGTCGTCCGACGGTGACAACACGCTCACAAACCGGCCAACCCCTCAAAAACGCGTCCAACGGTCAATCCAGTCCCCATTTCCATGTAGAATGTAAAGCTGGGACATACACTAATGTGCTTAGGTGCGATTGGACTTGTCATATGTCATCTCATCTGAATTTCCAGGCAGATGCTTTTACGCGTCATCTGGGCCCTGGCTCTTTTTCTGCTCGTGCTCGCTGTCATCAAGCGTCCTTTCTACGAGAAGGACTACAAGAGCACTTCGGCTCTTAATCGACATCTTTCCAACTGCTCTTCGAAAGCCCAAGGCCAGCAAGAGAATGTGCGGGCTGTCGTTGCCCATGACGCGGATTTGGCAGCTATTCGGGAAGCAGAAGAGGCTGCTCAAGCCCAGATACAAGCTCAATGTGCGTGGCCGTTTTCGCTGTGGCCAATTAACCGCAGGCCATATTTCGAGCGAGGCGGTGCGCTGGATTCGCAGACGGGAGACCAGACATTTACGGATCGACTTTATGGCGAAGAGGCGGGGCAAGAACTGTCTCAGCTGGAGATTGAGCAACTCCAAGGTGCGTAACTGGCTTCTGTGATATATTCCTTTACTTACAGTTTGTAGAAAACAGCGTCAAGATGAACGCGCTCCTCTCGATCTGCGTGGAGAGTTGGAGCGTTACCAGGCGCGGCTAATAGAGGTCAAAGGGGAAATGGACGAGCTGAGAGAAGAGGGACATGTTATTCTTGGAACGTGAACGGCTGCGGCGCGAGCTCAAGGAGGCCAATGCAGCATTGGAAAAGTGGGAAGCGGCAGCAAAAGGTGCAGCTCCGCTTGCCCATGGCCAACTTGTCTTTCCATTGTGGTACACGTAGATTTAGTCTTGAAAGGGAGTAGAAGGTATGTATGATGAAGAGAACGAGGAATTATACAATGGAGAAAAGGTATAAGGGGGATTAGGTGTAAAAGGTATGGTGTTGGTCATGGATGAACTGGAAGACGGAGGGTGTCGGCCAGTATAGGCCATGTTTGTTATATCTACAAGAGGTGGACGAGGAAGATGAGTTCATGGTGTGATATCGGCGGGGGGGAGTCGTGTCGTTGGTGAAGGAGCGGAATGAGAAGGTGCTGGGGTATTATCCTTGATGTTTTCAGCATTCTCGGATACGGCCGCTGCCCAGCTCAGCGAATCGCGGGTCTGCACGTACATCAGGGTTCTGGTCAAGATGGTTCGTAATGCGCTCTAGGAGCTGCTTGTTCGTGCCGTCCATCGAAATTCCGAGGGCATAGGCAATGGTCTTGAGGTTGTTCTTCTTCCGCCCTGTCAATGCCCCTGGAAAACCATGCTCGACGCGTTCATCACACGGTCCCTTTCCTCTTCACGTTCCTAGGCCTCCGTTCATCTTCTTTTCGAGATTTCTCTGCCTCTTTTTCCCGCGCTGCTCAACCGCGTTCCTCGACAAGTCGTAGACCCTCCTCGGAAGTCGAGGGACGAGCCTCAACATTGAGTTTCGGTCGAGCTGATTGCCTACCCTCCTTCGCATTGACACGTTGTTGCATTTGATTGATTTGGGAGCCAGCAAGGGTGACATGAGCACCCAGAAAGCGCGCTTGTCGCTCGAGAGACTCCACATACTCACGAGCGATCTTTGCTCGTTTGGCTGGCGGTGCACTTGCAAAGTCCATTGGAGTGGAGCGACGGGTACCGCGGCGAGATGAAGGGCATGGAGTTACTAAGGATAGGATGGTAAGAGTGGGAAGTGCAATCCGTGGGGTCCGAGAGAGAAGCTGGGGCCGAGGAAAGATGGAAGGGTCGATGTAACTCGATGTTTTCAATGTTTTCAGCAGTGTAGGGCGTAGTCTTGATGATAGATATAGACGTCAGCGAAGGTACCATCCTTGAGCTTGATAGCAAAAGGATGGCCCGAGGCCAACGACAGATCGGGGTATTCCTTGCCGCGACCAGGGAGGGCCAAGGGAATCAAGGGAGAATGCGGCAGAGAGTTGGCGGAGAAGACGAGCGCGGTTGGATGGCGGGCAAATCGAACGAGGGGGCAAGTCGTTCTGGCGATGACGTAGGTCAGAATTTAATCGCAACTCTCGGCCCTAGCGTTGCTCCTAATTGTTCCATGTTTGCGATCGTCAGGAAGGGTCAGGCAGGAAGCGTTCTGCCAATTCAGATGCCTTGCAAGCATTTCGATGTGTTTGCGGTCCATCCGCATTGAAGGGAGCTAGCTTTTCTTTTCTAGCGCGTTGAGCCCAAATTAGGGTCAGCGGACTGTCTGAGACGGCGAAAAGAGCGTCGTATGAGCTCCTGTTACAGCTTGGACGACTTCCGCCTTCCATGCCTCGCGTATTTTGTTGACGCAGAGCGCAGTCAACAAAACGCAAGACTTGCCACACCACCGATAGCGCAGAGCGCGCCCAACAGCGGTGGTGGTCTTAGGAAGAAAAGTGCGATGTGGCTGACCTCGTGACCGCGGATCATATATCTCCAAAACCACCGCCGTCGGAGCAAACGGGAGCGCCCTTTGCGCTTCGTTGCAACTCATTTGGAGTGGACGCGAACGGTTGGTATTGCCTCCCCGTAACTGTCGACCGCGCTCTGCGTCCACAAACCGCTGGCGAAGGCAGCAATCCTCTCATCCATGCCGCACTCAAAATGTAGACTGGAGGAGCTTTTTTTACTACGAACTGCAAGGCAACTCTTAACTGGAATCTAAGTCGGTACACCTTTAAACCAGGCTCGCTCACGATTCTCCTGTTCTCGGCCCCGGACCATTCCCAGTTCTACCATCGCGCTCAATGACTGACGAATAAGTGATAATCTACCATTAGAACTTAGTCTCGCCGAGGCTGCCCAACGTAAAATGGATGAACACTTCAAATCAGATCTAGTTGAATACATCGAGGCTCGCTTATAGCCCTACATGCGGATAACGGTCGCGTACGACTTTCCCCGCACCGGCTCCTTAGCTGCTGTCTGCTTAGGTTGGCTTTCCTTCCTGTATTGTCTGTGGTGTGTGGCGTGCGCCCTTCTCCACACCGTTTGTTCGGCCGCCGTCTCCTTGGCCTGAGTTTCCTTGTATTGTCCGCGGTGTGCTGTCGCCTGGCCTCCGGCTGGCATCAAAGGCATGACGAAGTTCTGCATAAAGAATATCATGAATCCCAACACCATCAGAGGCCAAAATATCCGTTCCATGAACAGATTCCACCCTACTGCCCGTAACCGTTTGTAGACGACAATGTCTTCTTTGCCTTCTGTCATACGACTTTGGGCAGCAAAAATGGTGGAAATCTCTTCAATCTCGGCAACCTTGGGAGGACGTCAGACAATTGTGGGAGTTCATTGAGATAAATACTCACTGCAACGGCCTGGACCCATTCGCCATCTGTGCTGACTTGAACCTTCTGCTGCCTTTCACCTGTTTGATAGTCAAATATATATATATCACCGTGGTCGCTTCCAGATACGATCGTGGTGCCACGATCGGCCCAACGGAACTGCAAGGGTCGCAGCCACTCGCGTCGGTGAGGAACATCAAGGGTTTGAGTGCGAACGTTATCACGATATCGGTAGATGGCTGGTCCGGATTGCATGTCTCCAAGCCCAAACACGCCCTGGTCCACGTTTGGAGCGAGGAATCCACTAAACGCGGCGCTCCAGTTCTGATCAATTAGCAAGTAATAACTTACATTCCGGCCCCCGCATCCCAACTGCTTCGAACGGTACCATCTTCCCCCGTTCAACGTCCAACTATTCAGAAAGTCAGTTGGAATAGACCATCTTCTGAAATTGGCGTACACGCGGCCAGGGCTTTCAGAGATATAGACGTATATGAGCCGGTCCGGCTCTTGCATGTTCCTGTGGAAATCGATAGCCCCTGGGCTATCAAGTTCGACGTCGAAAATCAACTCGGCTGTCCAGCGCACTTTCTCTTTCGGCGCTGATAGACCAAGATTGAACGCGGTTGCGTCGAGTTCCCAAGGCTAAACGATTGTTGACGGAATCGTAAGCGAGGCAAGTGATTTCGGCGGACCCCTCCAGTGCCATTGTGAATACTTCTTCAAATTTCTGTCAAGGACTCTTGAGTCAGTCAAGTTAATGGAATCACTGCGAACGCACCCCTTGGTAGCAACGCCAAGCACAAACAAAACCTTTCTGGGTCCCAAACCACAGAATTTCCTCAACTTGGTCTTTTTGACGAACCCATAGAAGAGAGGACGTAATACCGCGTTCTCCAGGCGGCGCAGGCCGAGAATATTCGGTCCTGGAGGAAGTATTCCACACACGAGTTCCTTCCCACCCTAAGGCACGTCAATTTACCGTTTGAAAGGAGCGCTGCTATCGGCACCTGCAGTTGCTAAGTATTTGCCGTCAGACGAGGTCTCGAGGCCTAGAATCCCTCCGCTGTGTTTGATACTGCCGTGTTTGGTGTAAGGCGTGCGGGCGAGGAAAGGCGGAAACATGAGGATCTAGGGACGATGCTTTACGAGTGCACCAACGCAAGGATGCCTTCTACCTTTTGTTGTGCTGAAAGGCAACTTGAAAGAAACGTTGTCTGCGTCACCACCACGTGTGAGCACGTGGTGGTGACAACGGACGCGATCGATGGTTCCCTTTGGACGATGACTCAAAGAACGGCGACTTGATCCCATTGTACTTGGCGCATATATAATGTACAT